CAGGGAGACCCTTTCTAAAAAAAAAAAAAAAAAAAAAAAAAAAAAAAAAAAAGGTGAGTCAACATAACTGGATTCCAGTTCTGTTTTGGGTTACAAAATTAGCATATGGTGTTTATAACTTTGATTTTAGGTTATGATCAGAAGCAGTATTTGCATAAGAGGGCTTTGGTGGACTGGAGAGATGGCTTAGCAAATAAGAGCACTTAACACCAACATTAGCTCACAAGTTCCATGGGATCTGATGTCCTCTTCTGGCCACCAGGCATGCATGTGGCATACTTAGATATATAAAAATTCTTAATAAACCTTTTAAAAATAAGAAGGTTTTGATTTGGCACAGTGGGGTGCACTAGCTAGAGGGAACACCCATTATTTTTTTAATGGAGCGCTAAACTGAGTGTTCTTTCCTCATTTACTTTCCCCTACTTCTTGCAGACATTGCTTTAGGGGTGTTTGATGTGGTGGTGACAGACCCTTCATGCCCAGCCTCAGTGCTGAAGTGTGCTGAAGCATTGCAGCTGCCTGTGGTGTCACAAGAGTGGGTGATCCAGTGCCTCATTGTTGGGGAGAGAATTGGATTCAAGCAGCATCCAAAATATAAACATGATTATGTTTCTCACTAAAGATACTTGGTCTTACTGGTTTTATTCCTTGCTATGGTGGAGATTGTGTTTTAATCAGGTTTTAAGTGTGTCTTGTGTGTAACTGTATTTTGCATGGATCTTGTACATAGTTTTATTTGCTGGACTTTTATGATAAAATAAATGTTGAATTTCTTTGGTTGTAGTAACTGGGATTTCTTCATCTGTTTCTTTGAGCTTAATCTCAGAACACAACAAATAGTACCTTCTTGTCACAGAGAACAAAGGAAGATAAAAATGTAGTAATGAAGTTTCTTCTGTGGCACCTCTGTCAGGTTACCAGGCTGTCTAAAATGCTATGCTTCTAAAAACTCAAGGGCCTAGATTAACAGCAGTGCCAAAGTTGAATGGAATTGGTGACAGTCCTAGGTTTCTAGATCACTAAGAAAGGGAGGGAGTGTCTCTGGTGCTGAACTCATCAATGGCTGACCTATCGGGTACTCCTATACTCTGAGAGCTAAAAGGGAAAAGGCCAGTTCTTATGAATGGACAGTGACTAAATTTGATGGGATGACTTTGTGTAAGATGAATTTTGTTATCCTTCCCTACCATTAACATCGTCCCTGTTAGTGAATGTCCTCTCATCCTCTAAACAAAGGTTAACAGCTTTTTCCTATAAAGAGCCAAATAGTATTTTAGGCTTTGTAGCTGTTTGGTCTGTCACAACTCCTCACCTTTTGCTGTGAGATGAAAATAATCATAGACAGTAGGTAAACAAGTATGTGTGGCTGTTTCAATAAGATCTTATTTACAAAAGTATGTACAAGCCATAGTTTGTAAAGCCTTGCTCTGGACATAACAATGGAAGAAGTCCTCTCCAGGTGACAGCTGCAGAAGCCAAGGCTTTCATAGTGGGTAGGAGAAGATATAGTTGAAGGACAGATTCAGTGACCTGTAGCTGAGGCCTGAACACTGAATTCTTGCCCACATTAGAGAGAAGGACTTGTTAGTGGTTATTTCCTTTATTCATAGTGATATGAACATTAATGACTGTCAGTAGTGGCCGGGCTATATGAACAGAATCTTAACTCCTGTGGTTTGTCTAAGGTGGGAAAATTGGGCCTGCAACTTTCAGTATCTCAAGTCTTAACAATTTGACCTCTATTGTCCTCAGCTAGAATTGTCCTTTTACCAGTCTGAAAGAATTAGCACATACTGGTAGAATTCAGATTCAGTTTAGCAGATCCTCAAAGGTGGGAGGCTCTCAATCTTAAATTTCTGAAGATTAAATATCTAAAGATATCTAAATATCTAAAGATTATCTGTATAGGTGTCAATTACTTGGTACAGAGAGAGGGAAAGCACACAGCCTATACTGTCTCTTCTAACTTGTGGGTAACATCCAGAAGCTGGCCCATTTATAAGCGTAATTCCTTTCTTACATATGAACCAAACCTAAAAATACTTAATTTTCTGATCCATGTTTTTAATACCATCCAACAGATGTCCCAGTGTAAAGACTCAAAGCCTGTGTGGTCAGCAGAGCTGACCCCATAGTTCCCCTTGGTGGGCAAGTTAAGACTCTCCCCTAAGATGGAGCAGTTATCTTCCCCAGAAATGATGGGAAGGATGTGTACCTCTGGACAGCTTCTAGGAGAAAAGGCAGAGCCTTCTCACCAGCCTGCAGACATCTGGTGAGTGCCTAGAGAATGAGATGTTCGTTTGGATCTTCTGTTACAGACTTCAGAATGTGGTAGGACTGACTCTTACTTCATTTTATGAACCAGTTTTCACATTCCAAAACTATAAAAGAAAGAAGAGAGTCTCTTTAAATACCATGCTTTCCCAAATTGTCTTCAAAGACATACAAAGTAGAGGAACCTGTGATCTACCTCCTGTCCCCTTAATTCCTGAAGAGTTTGGCTCCTGCTGAAACCACTTAGAAAAAAGTCTGCTGTGAACATCTAAGAAGGGCTATAGAGTGCTTTTCTGAATGGGAGTAACACAGATCTCTGAGAAGTCAACTACCACTAAATTTCATTATTAGATTTAAAAAGTTTACAAGGGGCAGTGCCCTACTTCGGTGGCAGCAGAGCAGAGGCCAGCAAAGCATGATGCATTGCTGCACTGCTAGTTCAATAGGTCATGGAGGCCACGCTGCCCTCAGCACAGCACACATAACCCAACACAGGACTTGAAACCTCTCACTACCAGGTGCAGGGTGTTATTTACTATGCTGACAATTTTTAATGGGAAATAATTTCAGTAAAATTTACTAAAGATCATCAGACATTCCCTTAAATCACTGAGCCATGTCTATAAAAGGAGAGTATTTGGAGTAGATGATGATTGAAGTTGTACTCTGGAATTGTATAAATCACCACCCCACCCCCAACCTAATGAGTCCCTCAAGGGTTGTTCCTACCTGCCCAGAGTTCCACCAGCCTGGGTATAATATTTGTTATAATCCAGCCGTAACAGTAGTTGAGCCAAATCTGAGTTGATCTGATGATTCCGAACACTAGAGAGAATCTTGAACAGGAGTGAAGACTGGCGACTAAAGCCCTGTGGAAAGACCCAAGCTGTCATCCCGTTAAACTCGTCATCATTAGCTTTCCATGGTGACTGTGGTGGTGAGGGGGGCCTTGGAAAAGTCTTGCATAAAGATTTTCAGGACCACCTGGCCTTCCCACATTCCCATTTTCATTAGCTCCTGAAATGTTTGACTTCTTAGTACGATGTCCAGAAGATGCATGATGCCTATGAAGGTAGTTTTCTCATTAGTAGGAATTTAACAGCTGGTTTCAGATTAATATAGTACACTGGGATCAGCGAGAGCTTGGTTTTGTTTCAAGGAGATAAATATAGTTCTCAGATTATAATTAAAAGTGAGATGGGAGGCTGGTTCAGTGGGATGTGAGAATGTGAGCACAAAGCGAGTGCATAGTCGGTGGGCTGAAGGCTGAATAAACAGCGCAGGGCTGAACTATGTTTGAACTCTGTGAGGAAGCACATTAATCATTTACTTCAAAATCAACTGATACCAACATTTTAATCTTTCTATCTTGTTATTTCTGTGTTTATACTGGGAAGTGCTTTATTGACTCAGAGCAAAGACTACTTTCTCCATGGGCACAATTGCCTTTGTCCTTTGAACGAGTGCGTACTTCAGACTCACCTTCACAAGAATGCTTAGCTGGGCAGCTCCACGTTCATCCAGTGGACCCAGGTTCTGACTGACTAGTGAACAAAAGCTGTGACAGAGGTCTAGGATTTCATTCAGGCAGTGAAACACCTACACAAGAAATAGAGTTGGTATTAGGAAAAGGGAGATATATCTGAAATGAAAGGTTTGGGAAAACAGTCTAACAGCTGACCTTCCATGTCTGACTCAGGATAGACAACGCCACCTGCAAGGCTCCTGGCCCTTTTGTGCAACATGCATAACAAACGTGCCCTCCTGGCATAGCTGCAGTCTACTCTAGTCACCCCTGCACAAAACTTCCACTCTCGCCACATTCAACTTGTCATTTCTTAGACCTGCTGAGTGTGCTCCTGCCTTTGAGCTATGGGTGTTGTTCCTGTCTCCAGGATACTTTTTTTTTCTTTTCTTTTTAATGCCAATTCAAGCCCTACTCTCTGTAAAATGCTCCTTCCCCAGTGTAGCCTTTAGTGAGCTCCACTTCCCTCTGTACTGTTTACTTGGAAACTGTTCAGGCCACCTGTGATGTTACTGGTCTTTTGTATGTATATGTGTCTTGTTTTTCCAACTAGATTGTGAGCTCCTTAAGGGCAGAGCCATGACTTATACCTCTTTGTATCCCCAGTGCCTTGCATACAGTAAGCACTCAATAAAGACTTAATGATGATGACCTTAGTTCTAGTGTTCTGCTTTTCCCCCAAGATATACCCATGCCATCCATGCAAGGGTTTTTGGTTGCTTTCAATTCACAGAACCCTTTAAAGTGGTATCTCTATCAGTCACTCTCCTTTGGTGTAGCAAAAGGAAGTCTATACCATTTATGTTATGGCACTCTGAGCAATAACAACTTGCTCACATCTAAGATAAAGTATAACCATTATACTAGAATCTACCAGGAGCTGTTTCAGTCTTCCTGTTTTTCAAGATTTATTTATGTTTATGAGTGTTTGCCTGCATGAATGTATGTGCACCACATGCACACCTGGTGTCTAGGAAGGCAAGAAGAGGGCATTGGATCCACTGGAACTGGAGTTACAGATGGTTGTTAGCAGCCACTTGGGTGCTGGGAACTGAACCTGGGTCCTCTGTAAGAGCTAGTGCTCTTAACCAATGAGTCTTCTTTCCATCTCCTAGTCTTCCTACTTTTCATCTTGAGATTAGAACCAGTTTGTGAACTTTAAAAATGACTGGTACCTAGATCCTACTCTAAAGAGTCTAACATAAGTGCTCTCTGGCATTAGAGGTTTACAAGGTCCCAGGTGATTCCGATGTGTAGCCAAGGTTGAGAGTAGCTGCCACGAAGGGGCTAAATGCAGATGGACATAGATCCAGAGAGACAGACACTATTTGTCTGTGAAAACAACATCCTATGATACAATATTTCAGAAATTCACGACATTTCAGTTCCCTTTTAACACTTTTAATTTTGCCTTATAAATTGTCAAAAATGTTTAAAAATGGAATTGAACAAGTGCTTAATAATAGTTCGCTATCCTGTCAACTCCAAGAGCCAAAGGAACAGTAAGGTTAGAAGCAGCCTAAGAAAACCAACCAGCCCTACTTACAGGCTTCAGCAGGATAAAGGACTGGGCCAACAAATTGCTTAGGAAGTGGTCGTGTGCCAGTCGGATGCTTTCAAAGTCCCGTGTAGAATTGATCTGATGAAGCAGCTGTGAGAACTGAGACTCCAGCACATCTACCTGGGAGACAGTTAAATCATTTTTCTAGTATCTTGCACATCCTGAGCACTCTATTTTATGTACCTTCTCATCTTCGTTCTACCGAAACCATTTTCAGGCTGACCAAAGATATGCTTAGATTGCTGAGGCTTGTAGGAATTTTGTGTGTGTGGTGCTGGGGAATCAAACTCGGAGTCTTGTGTATGTAAGGCACTTCCTGACTTTTACTTTTAGACCGTGTCTTGTTTACAGCCCAGGTTTTGTCATTTGCCTTCCTCCAGCTTCCCAGTGTTAAGATCAGAGGCATATGTCAACAGGTCTGGCTATGTAAATTTTTCTTTATTTTTATTTTTTTGAGACAAGGTCTCATGTAGCCCAGACTGGCCTTAAACTCACTGTGTAGCCATGATGACTCTGAACTTCTTATCCTCCTGCCTCCACCTCCCATGTGTTGGGATTACAGGTGGGTGCCACCACCAAGTATTATTCAGTGCTAGGGATCAAACCCAAGGCTCCTGAGCTACATTTCCAGTCATGGCTGGGTAATTCTTAATGGCCTCAAATCCACGCCACGTCCCCTCCGCTGACTGACTTGGTTAGTACTGGAAGTACTAATGGGCTACATGTAAGGATAAATTCAGCCCAACACAAAATTATAAACTTAAGTTAAAACATTAAGATATTCTTTTGCAATTTTTTTTCAGTAATGTTGCATGGTTCTCTAATGTGAGTTTTGGAGATGACAATGTCAAAAGGTTGGACATGCCTGTAAGGATTCCAGAATTTCTAGCAAATATGAAGAGGACATCAATAAAAAATATTGCATTGTCCATAAGGATCCTAACTCCTTATTCCCCTCCATTCAAGTTTCTGCTTCCCCTAAAATGCCCTCAAGAAACATGCCTAGTGATATAAATCCTGAAGGTCCTCAAACTCAAAACAGCCATTTTACCAAATAAAGAACTGTAGACCCTCTCCAGTACCTCCTAGACATCTTTCTACCTTTTCTATGCATGTCTCAGAACACACCTGAAGATAGTACTGGAGATTATCTACCAAGAATGCCATGTGATTTCTTAGGCGCCACTTGACTGCGTCCGTTTGATTAGACTTGAGATGTTTGCGCTGCATTTGGAGGGCCCAGCAGTGCTGCAGTTCAGCTTGGACGCGGCGCACACTCAGTAAGTACTTGAAAACAACATTGTACCTAAGACAGAAACAACAGGGTGAGATACAGATTTTACCCTAACCCCATGTACAGGGGGTTAGGGTAAAGAGAAATGGGGCTGCCACCTATTTCTCCCCTCTAGAAGCAGGCAGGCTAGAAGAATTGGCAAACACATTGTAGTTCAGTTATACAATAAGTTACATAGCAGACAAAAATGAATGAACTTCAGCTGTATAACAAAATGACTCAAGTTGTATGATTTTAAATAAGATAAATTGCAAAAGATCATGAAGCCCTTTAAACAGCTTTCAAATATGCAAAAAAAAAAAACCTTTTGTGAATATATAGGTACAAAATTACAGAGGAAGGAAAAAAAACACTGATTACTTTGGGCTGGGAGAGACAAGGGGTCAGGACTAAGAAAGAGCCCTTAAGTCTGAACATCATCAGTTTTTGTGTTGGGATAGTTTTATGATGTGCATGTGCAAAGGGAGTTAGGAAGACAGGAGGGACTTACATGGACCAGAAGGTATGTTATGAACCAAGGATTCTGATTTTGATTCTGTGTCCCTAAAGACCAAAGAGGGGTTAAAAATCACTTTCCTCAGAACAGGCCCCCTGCCTTCCAGCAAGTTTTGGGGAAGGGAAACTGCTTAATGCTGAGGCCTTGGACTGAGAAGACCCTGTACTGAGCAGCTGGCTCCTGCCGAGCTAGAGATATTTAATATATTGTAGAAGACAATCCAATTCTATTCAATCAAATTGAAAAACAATTTACCTCTAGAGGATAGAGAAGTGGTTCAGTGGGTAAGAGCATTTGCTACACAAACATGAAGATCTACATTCAAAGCACACATACATGCTTCTAATCCCAGAGCTTTTAGGGCTTTTAAAGAATCTGATTTATGTCCAAAGAAGTTTGGGAACAGCTGGGGAGACAGCTTGGTACATTAGAGCATTTGTTAAGAAAGCATGAGGACCTGAGTTTGGATCTCAAGCACCCATTAAAAAAAGCTGGGCATGGCTGTGTATGTGCACCTATAACTCCAGTGCTATGGAGGCTAGGAGGCATGGAGATAAGACGATCTCCGAGGCTTGCTAGCCAACAAGTGTGGCTGAAACGGATAGCTCCAGGTTCTGTCAAAGATCCTGTCTCAAGGGAATAAGATGGAGAGTGATAGAACAGGGCATCTACATCCAATACACATACACCATACATATACACCACTTACACATAAACACACACATCCAATGGAAGAAACTTTGAAACAGACATCTGGATAGTGATTTGAACAAACCTTACTATAAAGATTTTATTGGGGGGGGGGCAATCAGGGGATTCCACGTAGACTGGTTTACCTTATAAGGGATTATTATTAGCATTACTGGATATAATAATGGCATTGGAGCTATGTTCAAGTTATGTTAAAAAGCAAGCCTTTTTGGCTGGGCGTGGTGGCGCACGCCTTTAAGTCCCAACACTTGGGAGGCAGAGGCAGGTGGATCTCTGTGAGTTCAAGGCCAGCCTGGTCTACATAGTGAGTTCCAGGACAGCTGGGGCTACAGGGAGACTGTGTCTCAAAAAGACCTAAAAAACAAACAAAAATCAAGCCTCTTTTGAGTTGCATACTAACATGGGAAGGGATTAAAAAAAGCTTTATGTGAGGTCTGGGGATTCAAACTGAGATCCTCATACTTGCACAGCAAGCACTTTACTCATTGAGCCATCTCTCTAGAACCTAGTCTAATGGTTGTAAGTGGCTACCTACTCTCCCATTCATTCCACTGCTTACCATTCCCTACGGTCTCATGGTTGTCACCTCACTAATTATGACTTGTCTAGCAAGTCTCTAACCTCTGACTTAGAGTGTAAAAAACTAGTTGGGGAGGCAGAGGCAGGCAGATCTCTGTGAGTTCAAGGCCAGCCTGGTCTACATAGTGAGTTCCAGGACAGCTGGGGCTACAGGGAGACCCTGTCTCAAAAAGACAAAAACAAAACAAAACAACAACAACAACAAAAAAAAACTAGTTGGATGACTGTCTTGTTCCCACCAAGTCTATTCCTGCAAACTTCTTCCCTTGGATGTAAGGTAAACTTTACTTGTGAGAAACTCAGAAATACTCACTTTTCCAAGACAGCAGGGGTGAAAAGAATGTGTAGTGGCCACTGTACTTTATAAGAAAGACCTAGGGCGGCCCAGCCGGAAGCAGGGGCTTCCCGAGGGGAAGTTTCGCGAGAAGTCCCTTCTCTTGCCTGAGTAGCATCTGCTATGATTAAGAAAATAAAATAATAAATAACAGTTTGGTTAATTAGAACCAAGAGTCATTGAGGTAAGTGACATTCATGAGACGTGAGTGCAGCTGCAGTAGCAGAGCTTACAGAGGCACAGAGACTGGAGGGAAGGAGACTTCTGAAAGGGGTTTTCTTGGGATTCTTTTTCAGCCTTAAAGTTTTTGGAAAAAAAAAAAAAGGGACCATTCTATTCTAGCAGCACAAAAATATATATAAGCAACCTCAAAATCAAAATGGCCTTGGTACCTGAACCTTTCTGTATTTCTGGACCTGTGTTTGTACCTGAACAAAATTAAGAGTACTAGATCAGGTGATTTCTAAGGTCCAAAATTACACATTTTCTGTGGGGGGAGAAGGAAGCTGAAGTGGGAAGATGGGTGAAGATCAGAAGATGCAGAAGGTAGGCAGCAAAGAAAAGCAAACCTTTGTGTTCCTTTCCATGATATTCAATTGTCAGGTGCAGCAGAGGGAGAAGGTTGTCATCATCTAGCAACACCTTGTGTGCTGACTGCTGAAAGGCAACATTCACATCTGCAAGAAAGAACACTTGGGCTGGCACGAAAACTAACAGCAGGGCAGTGCGCATCCGTGGCTTTGCCTGACCAGCATTCATTCCTCCTTGTCCTTGTTATTAGCAGCCCTCTGAGACAATCGACCCTGCTCCCTCCAGTCCTTGGAGTTCGAGTACAGTTGACAATATCTGATTCTTGGAGAGGCAAGTAAGCCAGCATGAGCAAATGGAATGTGACATTCTATCCTGTTGGCTGTTTCCTTTATGGGTATGACATGACCTGATCCAGGCCAACCTAGAGGCTCTATTCAGATTCATAAAGACTAAGGCTCTTTTGAGATAAACAGTTTTAGTAAGAGGAAAACTTGGCTACAGCCTGTCTTGCCTGTCTGAAGCCAAAGGTGAAAGATAGAAAGAGATCCAACTACTAAACACCTCAGATGAGCCATTAAACATCTAAAACAATCACATCGCTGAGCTTTTCAGTTATGAGAATCAAATTACAACTTTTTATTTTTCTCCACTTAAACAAGTCAATTGGGTTTTCTGATATCTATGACAAAAATACCATGTATGTATAATGGCATCTATTTTACTAAACTAGAAAAATAACCCTCTTTTTTCCTCCCATTTTCCTTTTCTTAGCTCTGATCCTTACTGAATTTTCATGTGGTCTGAATGGTGATAGACATTAACAGTCAAGCGGTAGACACTGAACTTAATGTCTGACCTCTTTTTATTACTACAGTGCAAGATATGTGACCTGGGCAGGGTCAATTAAAATTCTTTCACTGGAATTCTTTTTTTTTTTTTGTCTTTTTGAGACAGGGTCTCCCTGTAGCCCCAGCTGGCCTTGAACTCAACAAGAGTTCTGCCTGCCTCTGCCTCCTGAGTGCTGGGACTACAGGCATGCCCCACCAAGCCCCAGTGCTCACTGGAACACAGAGCAGGTCTGATATGTTACTGATGGTCTTGGAAGGTCATCCAAGAATGCACAGGAGAAAGAGATAAGCTATGGTAAGAGGGAGAGAATCTGATCAAGATTCTATACTAGTTTGAGTTTGTTTTTTGTTTTTTTTTTTGGTCTTTGTGAGACAGGGTCTCCCTGTAGCCCTAGCTGACCTGGAACTCACTATGTAGACCAAGCTGGCCTTGAATTCACAGAGATCCTTCTGCCTCTGCCTCCCAAGAGTGTTGGGATTAAAGACATGCACCACTATACCCAGCAATGGAATTTTAGATATAACCACAAATACATTCTTTTCTAACTTGACTTGCCCAAGCCAGGTTCCCATTATCCACAACATGCCTTTAATTCTTTTCTTTTTGTTTAGACTCGGTCTCATACATGTAGCCCAAGCTGGCTTCAAACCCACTAAGTAGCTGAGGATGACTTTGAACTGATATTTGTGCCTTCAATTCCTGAATGCTGAAATTACAGACAAGTAACCCAGTTTATGCAGAGTTGGGGACCTAACCCAGGGCTTTGTTCATGATAGGGAAATACCCTACTAAATGAGCTATATCCTCAGCCTCACACCTAAAGAGCTCTAGTGGATACTATAAGTCACAGTAAGTCCCAGGATTCCCTGTAACACAGATATACTATAATCTGAAGATGAAAGACCTAGTTTGAAGACCTACTCTTTTAGGAATGGTCACAGGGCCTAGGTGCTGCTCCTGATGACCTCAGTTGGAAGTACTGCTCTAAGTTAACAATCTGTTCCTATGTGCAGCAGGCCTAAAAGCATCAGTATTAGTCAAGAAATACCCTGCAATTTCTGCAAGCTGTTTACTCTCATGGCTACTGGACATTTACCGTGTTCTGTTACTGCAGTGGGCGGTGTTTTTAACATGTGTTGAGCTGTGTCAATGAAGGCCTGAAACAGTTCTCCTCGTCCCAGAAGGTAAAAGTCTTTAATAATCTGAGGAAAGAATTCCAATTTACAATTCAGTAAATCAAAGCCAGGAGGTCCTCATTATCTACACACATAAATCCGGAACTTATTAGTCTGAAGGTACAGGCTTGGCATTTCAAAGAGGCATCCTGAGCAGCTCAAAGCAGGAGGACTCATTTATGGTTTTTTTTGTTTGTTTGTTTTGTTTTTTGCCTTTGATATGTTTTTAAATTTTTATTTAATTAATTAATTTATTTTTGGTCTTTTTGAGACAGGGTCTCCCTGTAGCCCCAGCTGTCCTGGATTCACTAGAGACCAGGCTGGTCTCGAACTCACAGCAATCCCCCTGCCTCTGCCTTCAGAGTGGTGGGATTAAAGGCGTGTGCCACCACGCCCAGCTATATGTTTTTTTAACAATTTATTTATTATTTTTATTTTATGTGTATGCATGTATTGCCTGCATGTAGGTAAGTGCACCCGTGTGGTGCAATGCCCAAGGAGGACAGAAGAGACTGTTGGATACCCTGGAACTGGAGTTACAGACAGTTGTTAGCTGCCATGTTGGTGCTGGGATTCGAACCTGGGTCTTCTGCAAGAACAACCAGTGATCTTACCACTGAGCCATCTCTCCAGCCCTCATTTGTGTTTAATATCATAATTCAGTGGCAGTAATTATACTACAACAGAAGAGAGTAAACTTAGTCTTTATATTACAGTAGATTTTTAGCATAAAGTCTAATTGCCTCATTTGAGTAAGAACAGATGAATCTACTGTGGAAGTCTAAGCAATAAGTGCTTTCTAGCATCATTTTAAGATTTAAAAGAATATCTGAGTTATTACCTTCAGCTGACCCAGTAAATCTGACTCCTCTACCATCAGTGTCCAGAGGTGCTATGACAAGATTTAAAAAAAAAAAGAACAAAAGTTCATTAATTTTCCTGCAAAGAATAGCTCCATACAAACCCAGCAATGTACTGAAAAAAAGCTCATCAGTTCAGTTAATCCTGGGAATGAAGAAATTTAACAGTTAACAACAACAACAACAAAACCTGTACAAGATAAAAATGTTCTGAAATTAGCAGTAAGAGTTACACACGAGGGGACATATTAAAAGCCACTGGATTGGCAAGAAACCATGGCCGGTGTGGTTGCTGTATGCCTCCATGTAGGGAAGAAAAAGTTGGGAACAGCTGCTGCCTGCCTCACAGATCGTGGGGCTTCTGAGGTGTTGTGGAGAAGAGTTTGTTCACATATAAACAAGTAACCAGCAGTGAGGACATTCCCACTGCAATGGAAAACCCTTACAAGGAGCCTCTTAAGAAATGTATCTTGTGTGAGAAATGGGTAGATTATAAGAATGTACAGCTTTTGTCCCAGTTTATTTTTCCATTCACTTCCATTTATAGAAGGCACATAACAGGTCTTTGTGGGGGAAAAAAAAACAGAAATAGCAAAAGCAATTAGAGGGCTTGGTTTATGGCACTTACATACAAGGATCCTGCATATCTCAAAGACCCTAAAGTTTGGAACATCAGCTATCAGGAGTAAATTTTTTTTTTTTTGTCTTTTTGAGACAGGGTCTCCCTGTAGTCCCAGCTGACCTGAACTCACTATGTAGACCAGGCTGGCCTTGAACTCACAACGATCTGCCTGCCTTTGCCTGCTTTTGCTGGAATTAAAGGCGTGTACCACCATGCCCGGCTGAGTAAATATTATAAGGTTACTACCAATAAATTTGTAAGTAGTTGAATGCCATACACACACAAAAAAAGCACTAGATTGTAGACCATTTTAAATAGCTAAAATGAAAGAAATGTGTATAACTGGAAACATACAACCATCATTACTAACAAACAGATATTGTCATGGTCTGCATGGAAAGTCCAAGGAACAGATCCCCAAAGCACCGAAATTAGTAAGACTTTAGCAAGATTTGTGATTAATACAAAGAAACCCAGCTCATAACCAGCATGAAAGTGAAGTCTCACCCAGAGGATTTGCATACTGGAGTGATCAGGGCTCCTGGGTATCCACCCTGAAGCTTAGTTCCTCCTCCAAGTCACTGGAACTGATGCAGCATTAGGAACTTCTCTTTGACCCTTTCCCAGTACACATTACAAGATAATATAACTGACATCTCTAGGGGAACAGAACCTGACACTATAAAGTAACTAGACATCTCCTCTAAGACTGAGGTACTTGGCACCCCAGTGGCTGGGATTTTGCATGTTGTTGGGAGTCTAGGAACAGTCCTTTGCTAACTAAGGGGACCCTCCTGACCTAAAGTCTGCTTCCTCCCTAAGGTAGTCCACACTGAATAACTGCTAGGTGTAGGGTCACATGACCTACTGTCCTGCCCTCAATTTGGGACTTCTCTGAAGGGCCATCCTAGCTTCCACTCTCTGAATAGGATGGAGGCTTCTGTTACAACTCCATTGCGATGTCTCTTCTCCCCCAGCTAATGTCTGCTGCTCTTATTGCTAGCAATGAAATCTGAGTCTCAGAATTTGTTTCTAATTTGACCTATGATTCAGACCAAAAATTTTAAATATTCTCAAAATATATGCTTAAAAAGTAAGGAAAAGTTGCCAGGTGTGGTGGTGCACACCTTTAATCCCAGCACTTGGGAGGCAGAGGCAGGAGGATCTTTGTGAGTTTGGGGCCAGCCTGGTCTACATAGTGAGTTCTAGTCAGCTAGGGCTACTAGGTAGACCCTGTGTCCAAAACCAAAACAACAACAAAAAAGTAAGGAAGAAAAATAAATAAATAAATAAATAAATACACAAATAAATAAAAATATATAAAAAGAAAACCAAGAAGAACAAAGTTGTTTGAAAACTTACGATATACACATGCAAAAAGTTAAAACTTGTCTTTGGACATTAAAGACCTCTACAGTGAAAATTTTAAATCTTTAAAGAAAGAGATTGAGGAAGACATCAGAAGATGGAAGGACCTCCCATGCTCATGGATTGGAAGAATTAATATTGTGAAGATGACCATGCTAC